GGGTTTTGTTCCTCCTTTCAATCCCATCATGTTCCAAGTCACTTCCTTAGGGGTTAAAAAAAATCACAGCACAACCTTCAGCTTCCCTCATCTCCCTCTGAGGGTTGAAATTCCCTTTTTTTTCTGTTTCCCAGGAGCGTTTCCTCCGGGTGGAGCTGCTGAGTGAGGCTGGGAAGGACAAGGATGGAGCTCCTGTCACTTGTTGTATGTCAGGATGTTCCAAATCCCTGGAATTCAGCTCTGGGCTGGTGGTGAAGAAGCTCCCATTGACTTATGTATGTAACTTCCCTGGGATTTGGGATTTGGGATTTGGGAGCTTTCCTGAGCCATTCCAGTCCTGTTCTGAGCAGGGATCTCAGCTCCCCTCCATTTCCTTGTGCTCACAACCAGGGGTGGATTCCAAGGCTGATTCCAGGTCAGGTTGCACTTCCCACAGATCCACTCAGTCCTCAACATCCAAAATTCAATCCTGGATCCGAGTTTGGGGATTTGTTGTGTCAGATCCCAAGTTTGGGGATTTGTGTTGTGTCAGATCCCATGTGTGACTCATGGAATATCCATGTGGGGTTGGCACAGCACCCCTGGCCCTGGTGACAATCCAACTTTTGGGGCCAGGTTTGGGTTTGGTGCCACCTGGATCCTTTTCCAGAGGGTGCTGGGAAGGCCAAGGCCTGTAGGGAGTGTGAGGTCAGCCTGTGGAGCTCCATGTCCAGGACAAGAGGGAAGAGCCTCAGGCTGTGCCAGGGGAGCTTTAGGCTGGATTTGGGGGAAAATTCCTTCATGGAATTCCCATTCCTGGAGGGATTTCCAAGCCCTGTGGATGTGACACTTGGGGACATGGGTGTCCCTCGAGCCATTCCATGGTTGTGTGTGGGATCTCCTTGCTTTGGGCACATCATGGCTCCCTTCCCTGGATTGTGGCAGAGCTTGGAAGCCAAGGTTGTGTTCCTGCAGTTTCCTCTTCCCTGAAATCTCCTTTTTTTTCCTCCCACAGAGCGATGGCAGCCAGGATCCAGGGGGATTCCTTTGCCAAGCTTGCACCCAGCAGTTCTTCGGCCCCCTGACTCCACTCATCTCTTTCCCAGCAGTCAAAGAAGAGCAAATCCAGCTCTAACAAAGCCCTCCAGCTTCCCAGAGCCATCCTGGATGTGGGACAAATCCTCTTGGCACATCCCAGCTCCAAAATCAAACAGATAATGGAGAAGGATTTCAGCCCAGCTCCAAAATCAAACATATTGGATCAGGATTTCAGCCCAGCTCCCAGTTCCAGTGGATGTTGGAGCAGGATGTTCCCAGCTCCAGAGGA